TGGGCATTACAACTGACCAACATATTCATGTTGTGCAATCTTTATTGCAACCGAGAGTGGTTAGATCAACTTTTCAGAATCTTTGGGCATTACAACCAACCAACATTTTGTCCAAGATGTCTTGGCATTTTTTTCTGTAACTCAAAAAATTGAAATGAACAAAGATACAATCTCATGGTCCTGATTTTCTGGTATTCGCTGGAACGTAGCATGGAAGTAAATTCTTATAAAAAAAAATTGTTTGTGTTTCATTATTAACATTTAAAATTTAGTTAAAATTTGATACCTATAAATCTTACCAGATGGCAAAAAAAAAACAATTTTTAGAGTTTTAAATATGTGGTTTAAGATCCCTACTGCTATTCATCCTGTTAAAATTCAATGCATTGAAATCTGATGCTTTGGTTGTTCTAAATTCAATAGGTTTGTTTTTACGTGTTGAGAAATAATCGTATAGGATAGAGCAGTGATTCTCAAACATTTTATTTTGTTATTTCCCATTCCTTCCTAAAGGGTACTGAATTTATTGATTTTAGTTTAGTTTGTGCTATTATTACTTATTGTAGTAAATGTTTTTTGCAGTAGCTTTTTTTACCAAATATTCTAACAGATTTCCAGAATACTTTCTGTACCCCCCACAGTTTGAGAACCACTGGAACAGAGTGCCTCATGTTTACTAATCTACTGAGAAATAAGTTAATATACTGTATTAGGATTGTACTATTTTTAAAACACTTAAAAAACAACAAATATTGAAGAATATATTATTCTGTTTGTGGTGAATAGCTGTGTGTTTTTTTGTAACATAGGAAATCTATTTAAAAATATTTATATAATTTGATAAATTAACAGTACTGTAATGGATTAAAACAAACACCTGCTACAACCAGGATCGAACAAAAGGACAAATTTATTAAATTTTGACAGCCACAGAAATCCAAAATAAAACTTTCAAACAGTTGAAATATAAATTTTGTCACTTACAAAAAAAATAGTAAATAAATACGTACCTAGTCAGAACTTGATACTAACACTGATGAACAATACAACATAAATATCATTGTTAATAATTATTTCACTAAATAAAAGGAATCAGGAGAATAAAAAAACCTAATTCTGAAAAAAAACAGACACAGTATTCCAAATTTAAACAATCAGTGGCCAAGTAGTTAGTGCGCTTGACTCGCAATCTGAGGGTCGCGGGTTTCAATACCTGTCCCACCAAACATGCTTGCCCTTTCAACCATGGGGTGTTATAATGTGACGGTCAATCCCACTATTTGTTGGGAAAATAGTAGCCTAAGAGTTGGCGGAGGGTGGTGATGACTAGCTGCCTTTCACTGGTTAATTAGGGATGGCTAGCACAGATAGCCCTCGTGTAACTTTGCGTGAAATTCACAACAAACCAAACCATATCTCGTGAACTTAAATTATTGCTGAATTAATTACTTGACACTGAACTGAAAAACAATCCAATCAATTAAAAATTCAAATACCCTATATGAAAGGGCTCTGGTTTAGGTTCTAATGTAATGACTGTTTTTTTAGTCTGTTACAGTACAATTATGTTTTCTAATGTCAATGAACTTCTTGTGCTCTGATTCTTACCTTTGCATTTCATTGTTTTTGCCAATTCTGTATTTTTTTCAGTCGCATCTTGAGATGTATTTTTTTTCAAATTGTGAAACTGAATCATTTCAGTATGGTTATTCTATTCAGTATAAAGAACTTTATTTAATACTTCTCATAAAAAATTTACTTTTTTTGAGAGTTTTTATTGTGTAATTCTGTGAGTAGTCCTTTGATTAAAAGTCCTTACCTAAGAAACAATGATTTTTTTATTATTTTTTTATCTTGTGTATTTCACCGACGTTCCTGCGGTTTCATCATCCTGCTGCTGCACTTCTGCCAATTCTTCTTCAACACCATCACCGTTTTGCACTGAACACAAAAACTGCACTCAGAATGTGGTTACTTGATGGGTTAATATATTTTGTTTTATTTTGTGGTCTTAATTGAATTCATTTATAATTCAAATTCTGGTGCTTCTCTCATTATCCTATGTAATTGTAAATTATATCTATCATGGAGAACCAAAAGTATTTGAATTGTTTTCTTATAATACCAACTAGTTATTTTTAGAAAGTATAATGTTCAAGAAACATAGTGACATGCTATGTAGGGTTAAGAGCTACAAGGTTGCATGTGTTGATGGTCAGCACTTGGCTCTTTCATGCTAACAAGCATGAGGATTTTATGAATTGTGGGGTTTCCTGCATGATACTTTTTGTTATGCATGCTCATGAGTATTGTCTTCTTACCACAACCTTGGGCCTCCCAGGACTTCTCTGACAAAAACATCCCTGTTATCTTAACCTTGGATTTCTTACCTACCAGAACTTAGTTACAAAAAAATCTTTGTTATGATAACCTTGGGTCTCTTGCCTCCCAGGACTTCTCTGACAAAAATATACCCATTACCATAACCTTGGATTTTTTGCTTGCCATAACTTTGCTACAAAAACATCCCTGTTACCTTAACCTTGGATTTCTTACCTACCAGAACTTTGTTACAAAAAATCTTCGTTACGATAACCTCTCTTGCCTGCCAGGTCTTCTCCTAGAAAAACATTCTTGATTTGTATTAATTTATTCTTTATCTTGGATTTTGGTGTTAAACTCTTTATATTTACAGCTTTTTAGATGCCAATGGGAAAACTTACATAATATCTTGGATGTCTGCAAGTGAATTATGTACAACCGAGTCTAAGGAATACTTCTAAAGCTTGAGCATGTAAAACTATATTGTCAACAAAGAGGAAATAACCAATAATTGGCTTCGTTTGGAATCTTCTGTCAGTTTCTTTTCCACGTGTATATAGTTATTTTTAATTCCTTTTCTGTAATAATGAATGATTAAGATAAGAATGTAAATGGATTTAAGCAATTTAAAAGTATGGATTTTAATAGTGCATGAAAAGCCGATTTGAGATGTATGTGTTTAGAAGTGACTTGCATGCAGTATATTTATGGGTATTGTGTTATTACATCTTTTCTGTGATGCAGAATATGATCTCTGTTCTGAGACTATGGACATTAAATCACAGATTGTGTTGAAGGCGTAAAGGTTTATAGTATTGTGCATTAATTTTAGTCCTAAAAGAGACTATTGGATGTGTTCCTTGTATGTAAGGCATGAATGCTTGTACTTGCTTTTACTAATCTTTTGCAGACCAAATTCTTCTTGAGTTTTGATATTGACAGCCAACAATTACTTCAAATCTTCATCAGAAATCAGCATTTAATTTTAAACCAAAAACTGAAAAAGCAATAAAGAAATAGGCTTAATATTTGTGATAGAATAATACTAGACTGCAGATGTTTTTTCCCAATGTTAATTAGTCCATTACAAATCAGATTTAAAATATGTAATAAATTAACCCCTTGACTACAGTAGCAACGTTTATTCACAGTATGGAATTTTTTTGTCTTTTTGTTATAATATTGTGGCTTTTACTTCATGGTTTTTACGAGCCATTATAAGAGATTATTCATACTGTCACAGTAGAATCTTTTTTTGTGTGTGTGACTCTACATTCTTTTATCTTTTATTAGAATTCAGAAATTGCTTGCACAATATTAGAAATTGCCTGCACAATATTTTAAATCCTGCTGCTCCAATTTATGTAACTTATTTGTCTTATACATACGTGCGTCGCAGGCATCCACTGTTCAAGACCTATTTGGGCTAAATATTGTGGCTTCTCCAACATTGATGCTTTAATTCTTTGGGGACAGTATGTAAGGAAATCTCTTTTACAAATAAAAGTATAGTTATCTCTGTTTTGTTTTTGAAGTTTATTATGGCTTGACAGTAATATACATACAGCTGCAGAAGTAAATTAATGACTGTCAGAGAGGCATCAGGATGTACCTCTAAACTTCTGTAAAAACAGATTATCTTGCTGATCTACACAGTACAAAGATTAGGGATTCTCATAGAATGCATATGTGTGTAGCCAAGGCAAATACATTTGTATGGGGGTATAGGCAAAGAAGGTTGGTGTATGCTGTAGATATTTTAGCACAAATAAGCAAGAGTTAATTAAGATCAATTTTTAAATAATATCTGCAGTCTAGTGTGATTTTTATCATAAATGTTACAAATCAGTATTTTCATTAATAACTATATGGTATTGTATACTTGTGGTTAATCTCTAAGTTGTTCACGTTTTATTGGCATGCAGATCATCGATGATGGAAGGTTCGGGTACATTGGAAGCCCAGCTGGAAGCAACTAAGGTAAGAAAGAAGGATATAGTTTTGTAAAATGAAAAGTGATAAACTACTGAAAATCAAGTGTCACAGATTCTACACCAGAATTGCCACATAAATATAGAGTTGACACTTTTTAACAGTTCTGTTAAGTTCAGTGAGAGTTTTGGAAACTATGAATATATAAAGTTGGGATGTTCAGTGCTACTTGTAAACCCATGTTGAGATGTCAAAGACAATTATTAATGAGTATAGAGTTGCAGGATCGTCTGATTATCTGTTGTAAAATTACCATAAAGAATGTTTCTGTGAAGTCACATGAAGTAGAGTTTAGAATGTTGTAGAAGTAGTTGATACTTGATAAGATAAAAGAGTCGGCTACTATGGGATTGAGTAATTGAAATACCTTATGGTGGAACTGAGTTAGTGTAGGATAAGTTTTCTTTTTTATCTGTGAAATTTTTAGTGTTTAAAGTTTTTTCTCGAATTTAAGAGTAAAGCAGCTGAAGTACGAACAAAACGAGAAGACCTGAAGAAGATCGAGGATCTAGGGGCTCAGCTAGAGGAACATCTAATTCTTGACAACCGTTACACCGAACACAGTACTGTAGGCTTAGCTCAGCAATGGGATCAGTTAAACCAGCTGGGTATGCGAATGCAGCATAACCTTGAACAACAAATACAGGCACGGTAAGTTTCAGACAGAAACGTTTGTTTACAATAAACAACTTTGTAGGCTTAGCTCAGCAATGGGATCAGTTAAACTAGCTGGGTATGCAAATGCAGCATAACCTTGAACAACAAATACAGGCACGGTAAGTTTCAGACAGAAACCTTTGCTCACAATAAACAACCTTGTAGGCTTAGCTCAACAATGGGATCAGTTAAACCAGCTGGGTATGCGAATGCAGCATAACCTTGAACAACAAATACAGGCACGGTAAGTTTTAGACAGAAACGTTTGCTTACAATAAACAACCTTGTAGGCTTAGCTCAG